CTAGAGACTAGAATGAACTGGCAAGTGACTGAGGAGTGAAACCGGGTAATATAGTGAGCAACCTAATCAAGTGCAGCTGGTGATAAGGGAGTGAGGAACAGGTGAACGTGATTAGTGTTAATGGGCAAGAGACAGTAGGAAAGGTGAGGGAGGCAGAGCGGCCGAGCAAACCGGACACTTTTATGCAATGATGACATGGTAACAGTTTGGTTAGGTTCAAACAATACCCCCTGACTTCTTCCTTTTCTCTCATCATAATTATTACTTTACAGTATATTCCTGTAATTACAATGACCATTAAGGGCTTTGCCACTTGTATCGAAACATATCGTTTTGGAGCCTCTGCTGAAAAGACTGTCTCACACAGCTACTAGATGTCGCTTAACATTAAAACGTGACTATTGATTGCGATAGCTGCTTGCGCTAGTGGCCTGACCTTGGCAGAACAGTCTCAAGAAGCTGAAAGTGTACCTTTTCCAGAGAGAGTGAAATTCTCGGTAGCTATTTCTGTAAAGTTGGACAAGCACTTTGGGCAGGGTATAAGTGATGACTAAAGCAATTAAACTCATCAAAAATAATGAGTCGAGCTCCTCTACTCTGCACTGATACCATCTACCGTATTCCTCTGGAACATCATCATCACAATAATATTAGAGAACAGCAGGGAGTGAGCATCAACAAGGGAAATACAGTATGAGGCTCACATGCCAGCACTCCCATTATCCCACTGGCTGTGTCAAAACAAGCCCTGTGGCCCAATATGGCAGGGTTCTTTAGCCGCCCTAAAAGATCACTCAAGGCTAATATACGACTATAATTCTTTGCTGTGGAACCAAACAGCACTGCTGCCCATATAAATTTTAGTAGCAATCTGGAAGTGAAATAAAATACCTCAAGATAACTACAAAGTACAAATGTAAAACGTTTAAACATGCTGAAATAGCAGGGTTTCACTTGTGTGCATGGAAATGCATCAGTTTCCCCCTCCAGATATGTATTGTAATGTATCTGAATATATTCTGATACTGTAAATCTAACATGCAGTATTAACCACGTCAAGCCACAGGACATACTGCCTGTGGGCCGTCTGTAAATTCTGAGTGTTAACAAAGCAGCCTAAACAACAACAAGGCAAAAGGTAACATGTTGGATCCTCTGGGGAGATGAGAGAGAATTGCCATAATATAAAATGTTGTTTTAGAGTGGGTCAGCAAAGCAACAGCAATGCTGCCTGTGAACAAGCACATCTCAGCAACACCTTCACAAGCAATGACGACAGAGGGAAATATGCTCTCAATAGCCATTTTCAACCATTTGCAGTTTTTCAGAATTCTAGAAACCCATCTATGTACCCAGGAACCAACGTCTAAATTTAGGCACCCAAAGCGTCTCAGCTCGAGTGATAGCACTTTCTGATCACTCAGGAACTACCAGTGTAGTTTTATCCAGCGTGTCAACAAAACCATTCATTTGTATAGTATGCAAGCATTAGTTACCAGTAATATAAATATTAGGACGAGAGATGTTTTAAATGTTTAATGATATTATAAATCAAGTTACAATATCGTGTTTACTTCACAACTTATTAAACATAAGAGTCTTGAAAACTGTGAATTACAAACCACAAAATGACTGTTTTTGTCCTCTGTAATGTTAATACTAGTGGCACCCACTAGTTAATTTTGTGAATCAAGGTGTACAGAAGTGGAACAGCTGTGGTATTTATGTTTGACTAGTCAGTGACACTGACCCTGCAGGCTCTGAAATACTGGAAAGTATTGCCCCTGAAGCTGCGACTCCATTTGAGCTCTCTCGTTCCTCTTGTTCCTAATAAAAAAGATTGTTTCCACTGCACAATCTTATCCAGGGTACTAAAACTCTCCTTTTTCCAGGGCTCTGGGTCAAAATAAAGGAGCGACTCTGATCACTGGAAATGTTCAGGACAAAACTGCAGCATCTGTGTGTGTTTGCATGTGACTGTGTGTTTTGGAGTACCTTGACCCTGCTGACAGCCTCCTGGGCCTGCATCATGCGAATGTTCTTGGAGGGGTTCCTCTCAGACAGCAGCTGAGTGGAGCCCAGGTAGTTGGCAGCAAAGATAATTCCATCAATTAAGTCTTCTGGCTCACAGGGTCCTGGGACTGTGCCAGGGAGAGGCAGAGAAGATGGTTAAAAAGGACACGTATAAGGACAAAGTGCAGTCTGACTGAAAGGTTTGTGTGTGTGGTAGAGACACTATTGTAATCACTGCAGTCAACATGCTGTGTGGAGAAAGAGCCAAGCACTGTTACTCTGGAGATAGAGATATGGTGATAACCGGCTTGGTGGAACCAAGCAGTGAGATAGCCAATGGCTGTAAGCTGATGAAGGTGTAGTGCTGGTGTGAGACTGGGCTGAGACTAATCTGTGTCTCTGATATGTAGATACGGACTCTCAGACACCCACTCTGGGACACAGTGTGCTGTCATGATCTGAAGGAGCAGACAGGCAACTAAACCCTTCACATATTATTAAGTTTAGCATCTGTCCTGAGGCAGGAAAGGAGCACTAGAAGAATTATATCACACCTTTGAGGGACAAACTGAACCCAAAGCAATGCCTGGAATCATTCTTCGCAATTACAATATTCTGATTCCGTCACCAGACAGGTGTGCAGAGAGATGAACTTACCATCGACAAAGCTGGGGAACGACGCAACCTTCTTTGTGGGCTGGAAAACAAAAAACAGGATATGACAGAAAAATTGTCTCAGATTTATGATGGAAGCATGCCTCTACAGTCACAAATAAACCAATCACAACATTTAATTCTGTCGGTAAAATATTAACAGATGTTATTCTTGGCTAGGATCTGCTATCTTAATGTACAGTTCTACATTCAAACAGCATGTGTCAGGTCATGAAATCAGGGAGAAAATCATTGGTTTGGTTCAGGCCTTGATTAATGCTCAAATCTTTGACATGATGCACAGAAAGGCAGCCGATTTGCTTCAAGTTAGGACTACATCAGCATAGAGCAAACCTCAAGGTAAAGGAATAGCCCATCCTGTAAAACAGTGTCTTTTTACTGACAGAGAAACACACAGGTTACATTTTATCTTTATTATCATTTTCATGACTGCAAAACAATGATTATGATTCACCTGACCTTCCAAAAACATGCACGCTGACTCTCCTATTGTGTAGGATTTGACTGGTACAGTAGCTGCTATTATTTGTTTTTTACCAACTATCTTGACAGCAAATCCTGCATGAACACAACAGTTTCACTCCAAAAATGACGTTATGAAAGCAGTTTATAAAGTCGACCTGCTACTACCATATTGTTTCTATGACCTCTCTCTCTCTCTTGCATTAATATTACTTTCTTCAGCAGGTAAAATGTGGTTCTGCTCGACTGCAGAGGTGTAAAACCTAGTTTAAAAATGGCTCTGGCCTTTACAAAATCTAGTCAGGTACCATATAGGTACAAATATGTATGTAAAAATGTAAAAGGGGGAGGAATTAATTACAAAGAAGAAAGGTACAGGGTCAGAAATGAATCATAACTGATACTCGATTGTATTGGAGAAAAACACCATTCTTTTTTTCTTCTTTTTTTAACTCAGAAAAGGTATAAATATTCATACATTTCTGTTATTATCCAGCAGAGCTCTACCTTAAAATCAAACAGTATTTCTACTGCTGCAGAAATTGCATGAGCCTTGGAGAAAGACACCGCAAAAGTGGGTGTAAAGGGAACACATCCACTCCACTAATCCACTTTACACATTGACAATAGCTGTGGGAGGTGGAAGAGATTGGATGCACAGTAAAGGAAGGAGGAGGACGCTACAGACACGAGATGGCCACAGAGAGAGCTGTGAATTGTTAAGTGATTCATGAGACTCATCCCACTAGATCTATTAGATCTTCTAACCTGCTCACGACAGATACAGAAGGTTTACTCAGCTCAAGGACAAAGGGATGTGGGTGGACCGTGTGCAGGAAGCATCCTCCCAGCAGACAACTCAGTGAAAAATGGCCCTAATAAAACCGCAAGCAGACTTTCAGCTCAATTGCAAGAACGCTACCACACTGTAAGCAGAGGACATGAGCTGAGGTTGTAATTAAACAATTACTCACTGACGCAGTCACTCGCATGTATACAGGCACACACAAACAACAATATCCTCTGTCTCAAGTGTAAATGACCTTGGAACAGATCTAAGAGATCAAGAAGGAAACACTGTGTCAGAATATTATCCAGCAACATCTTACTTCTGGTACATTGTTGTTCTCCAGGGGAACGTTGAGGTCGGAGCGCTGCTGTTTCCTCGGTTGCTCTGCACCATTGCTCACCTGGCAGGTCAACACAAAAGAACAGGTGCAAGTGACAAGGAATCAGAATAGAATAGAGCGGGATAAAACAAGTAAAAAGAAAAGTTTTGCCAACTCAAGCATTTTTTTTATTTCTGTTGCTTGTTGGAATGGGGGAACAGAGATTCAGAATCCAAATTCATGTGACTGATGTGGGAGGTTTAAAACGAGCAGCTAAGCCTGCTATAAACAACAATGAAGAATGTGTGAAAATCCTCTGGACCGATAATAAAGGATATTTCTTCTGTTTGTGCTGGTAATTGCCAGGGCTGATTAATTTGATCTTAACTGTAAAGCTTCCCTTAAAAGAACCCAAGCAGTCCTGGACCAGACTGCTGCTTTTGTCTCAACTCCCATCATGGTACATTCAGTACAGTACATTCAGGATATAATCACACAGATGAAGGACTACATTTATTCCCCGGAATATCCATCTTGCAATCCATGCATACTTGTTAAACCAATTGGATTACTGGCAGAATTGAAAGCCTCCTGCCAGTTAGACCTCATCCTCCTTGTGTGACAGTGAAATTCAGAGGAACAGTTCATGCTGTTGTGCATCTAGAATCTAAATTCATTATCACAAACATGACATTAGTTGCTTCTTTAGCAAAAAAAATGCTAAAAGTCCTGATTGGTATTCAACACGCTGCCCAACTCAGATGTGCAAACAACTATTAATTAGGTTTGTGATGCTTGCTAAACTGCGATGTTATACAAAACTGCATTCATGTACACAATCCCATGTGAGCATGCATTCATCTGTAATAACAAATCTTAGTGTACATGGAGAATTTTATCATCATTAAATCAACACCATGTTAATTTTAATCCATTAACATAATTAACATTCCTAAGACCACCTTGCAGAGGACTGGCAGCTTCTGCCAACATGCTCAGGAACAACAAACAGGAATGCATTAGTATGTTTGGGATTTTGTTTGTGTGTGTGTGTGTGTGTGTGTGTAATTGAGTGACTCACATTTGCACTGTAATTATTTATCAGAAGTAACACTAAGAAGAAGAGATAAAATCTCTTCAGTCTTTACAGCTGCTGGACACATGTCCATCTGATTCATATACATTTTTAGTCCTTTTAGACCAAAAATATAACAGAATTATAAATTCAGTTATACTCAAGAGTTTTAATAGGTTGTGAGTGGTCTTTAACACACTACTCTAATACTGCATATAGCACAGCTTTTAATTACTGATAGATAAAAGTAAACTATGTAAGAATGTGGTGGAATTAAACTAGAAGTGCCAGATCTGAACAATACAAGCATCAGAATATTGCTTTTTGAGGACCAACACTTTCCATCAGAAATGGGAGACCCACAGATGTGCTAGATTCCTATATGGTAGAGAGGGAATCTTCGTTATACTCCTAAACAAAAGGTGAACCCAAATAAAAAGGAATACATTTGACTGATGAATCAGGATATTATGGACCGCAAAAGCACTTGACCATTGTCTCATTGCTGATCATACCATCATGTCACAAATAATTTAATAACACTGACATGCCGATGGCTAAAACACACAGATCCATTTAAAATAAGACTACAATACTGTAATACATTTAGTTTTCCTCAAATATAACAACCTTCTGCTTTGTAACCCTTTTATGACTCCACATTGTTCAGTAAATTGTTAAATATTCATTGTCATGGTTCACTCCAGGTTCATGTGGAAATGGTGAACATCTCAACTGATATCAAAACGACCAAATCATCTAAGTGAGCCTGAGAGTCATCTGAATCTGCAGTGTACCGTACAGTCTTCCAATTAAATCGAGCTACGCTGGGTGACCCAGTTCTGTGCTACAAATGAGCTGCACACAGTTAATATACAAGCCCGTGTGCAACAGGTGTGGATCAGCGGGGCTCCCAGTCTGACTTTTAGAAGATCGGGGAGCTCTGCCTGGGTTTGTGTCTATTGATGTGTCTGTGCAGTGTGTGTATATTCATTCAGGTCTGTAAGAAGTAGGGGGAAGAAGATGGGGACATCTCAAGGTAACATGGGGGAGGGGCAAGGCTCCTGTGATTTTCTGGGTGGTGATGAGAAAGATGTCACTTGTTACTCATCTTCAGCTCCTTGCCACACAGATCTATTAATCACACCCAGCAGCAAGAGTCTCTGTTACACAGCATTAAAGTAACCTAAATATACAACCATCTTTTGCAGAGTCTGATCATATTAACACTGTTGTATTATTACTATTACGATGTCATGTTCTTCAGCTTCATCTAGTAGCCTTTGCCTGTACCTTGACTTCTGTGATTAAGCAATATTCAGTGGGAAACTCTTCAGTTAAAATATTCATAAACATGATTTGCATCAAAATTTAACCACATTAGCTATAAATTTAACTTTCTACAGAGCAAATGGAGAACAGTGATCTCTTGCATGAACCACAGAAGCATGACAGTGGGATAGCAAAGGATTCTATGTAAGGGGGTGACACAGAATTACTGTTTTAGCTTAAGTGATAAATGTGGACAATGTGAAACTCACCTGGTCCTGTGGCCATCTCTGCCTGTCTTCAGGGGAGTGTGAATGTGGCTTGAGGTCAGGGTTGTTGTGATGCATGGAGGGCAGATTCAGTGACTTGGGCCTGCTGTCGTGGCAGTGGTGAGCTGGTGGATATGGGGCTGCATCGGGCTTTGTATGGGGATAGTCACATGGGGTGGGGTCCTGTGCTAGCTCCTCTGGGCTTTGGTCAGTGCTGCTGCTTAGACTCCCCATGCTCATACTCATCTTGATCTCAGCAACAATTTGGTCAATGTCCTCCTCCGCCTCCTCCCCAGTCTCCCCTTCGACCACGAGGACTTTACGGCCACGATACGGAGAGACTCGCACCGAGTTCCCATTGTCCTCTGGGGCATAGTAGTCTCCAGTGTAGGCCCTTCCGTGTCTCTCCTCCTCATCACCCTCCTCATCTTCCTCGCCATTAGGACAGTATTCCTCGCTCTCCACTTCCTCTTCTTCTCTGGTGTGCAGTGTGTCTTGCAGGGAGGGTTGGTGGTGATGGTGATGATGGTTCAGGATCGGTTCTGGTCTTCCATTGTATATGTGTTCATCTGGATCTTGCTCCACCACCTCACAGCGAACCTCCCCTTCTTCCTCACCCCATTCTTCCACCCTGTGCCTCTCTCGTCCCACCCACTGCTCCTGCCTGACCTGACCCACCTCTCTCCACTCCTCCCTTGCCTCCTCGTCTCCCTCTCTCCACTCTTCCCTTACTCCTTCCTCCTCTTCTCTCCACTCTTCCCTCATTGTCCCCTCTCTCTCCTCATCTTCCACCCATTCTTCCTCTCTCACCTCCCCTTCACCCTCCTCGGTCCACCCTTCTACAGCCTCCTGGCACTCATCAGTGTGGGCTCCACCAGGCTGCATTGTGCCAGCACAGTCCCCCTGGCTACGGGTGTGGTTGCAGTCTCCCTGACTACTGCAATCCATACCTTCCAGGTAGCTGTCATCCTCTGGGCAGTATCGAATGTAATAAGTCACACCCTCATCCTCCTCTGCCAGTCCTGGAGGGTTTATGATCACAGACATACATGTTTCTCAATATCTGGGGCTTAAACACATTTATTCACCGTGTTACATTTGACTATCTTACTAATGTATCAGTTGGAAACCTAACACTGGGAGGCATGATATTCAAGTTTGTTTGAGGAAAAAGAAATGATGTTGTGCCCTGCACCCGAGTACAGTATCAGGCTGTTGGTCAGTTGAATGGTCTACTGCTTTGGTCTAGACTAAAATATCTCAACAACTGTTGGATGGATTGCCACTAAAATTTTTATAAATACCTGTGGTCTCCTGAAGATGAATTCTAATGCCATTAGTGATCCCCAGACTTTGTGTCTGGTGCTACTAAGCAAACATTAGCATACTAACACACTAAACTAGGATAGTGAACACGATAAGCATTGTATGAGCTGAATGTCAGCAGATCAGTAATGTAACTGTGAGCATATTAGCATGCTGATGTTGCAATTAAACTTAAAGTGCCACTGGCTCACAAAGCTGCTAGCATAGCTGCAGACTGTTAGTCTTGTTGGAGTTTAATTACCTGAATGATAAATGATTATTTGCAGCAACATTTAACTTCTTTAAGGAAATTGAAGCAATGAGAAGACTTAGTAATGCAAGATAATGAGAATGAAAGGGGAAAAAAATCACTGCTTACAATAATTATAACTGATGTCACACTCACCATCATCATAGTCTTCCTCTTCATCTGAGGTGTTGTTGATATAGTCAGAGCTGGAGTCATCATCCAGGCTGTCAGCTCCCCCGTGGAAGTCCGCCTGGTCATGGTCATCCTGGTCACGTTCATATTCTGGTGTGGAGGGTGTTGCTGGCCGCGGGTCCTCCAGTTCTGCATCTGCTTGGTTGCTGTACCGTTTCACTTCAACCTCTGCATCTCCATCCACCTCTGGATGATTGTGACCCGCATCTTGAGACTTGGGAGAAGAATATTGTGCCTTAGAGGAGTGGGGGATGGGTTTTGGATCATGTGACTCTTTGGGGTAGCGGATTGGGCGTTGCCGAGCAGGGAGAGCATCCAGATCACGTGACTGAGTAGGATGAGTGGTGGGACAGGAGGCAGGGCCTGGAGCAGCCATGCAGTTTCCTCCACTGGTCCCTGGCCTCTTCCTGTGAGCCATGGTTGGTGGCTTACAGGCCATGCATTGCTATTGGTTTGATCCTAGGAAAGAGACCATAAACACAGGGGCATAGCTTTATAACAACATCAGATATAACTGTTAATCCACCCATGCATTGCCTACATACATTACACCCATACAAACACAGTCCATTTACCTGTCTCACTCTTTTCCTATACTTTGCACAGCTGTATCATAGTGCCTAACAAAGCAATCTATCCCTGTAATTCATCTTGACAATCCCTGGTTTACTTTATCCACATTCACAGCAACACTCATTTTACTCAGCACAACTCTGGCTTTGAATACACAACAGGCTCAAGATACAGTACTGCTCAGGCTCATCTTTGGAACAATGGACACAAAGAGTGGAGGCTTTCTAAGCATACCACCTTCACATACACCAAAAGGGACACTGCCAGACAAAGAATCAATAGTGAAATCAAGATTATTTCCACATAGGTGCTGCACATGTGCACTAATACCACTGGGTTTGCTAATGATCAGTCAGTCAAGGTGTATTGACATTTTTTAATTGCTTTGAGCAAGAATGGTCAACCTGGGAGACAGAAAGCCTTCTCCTTCTGAAGACCTGGTGAAGTAGTTCAGGTGAAGAGACAAAATATTTCTAATTGTCGTTAGCAAGTAGCCTAACTACCTTCACAATGTGGTCTCAAAATGCAAGGAAACAAATTGTTAATTTTACCAGACAGCCCTTTTCTACGCTTTTTTATATAATAAAAGCAATAAATCAGACAGGAGATGTCTTTTTAAAAACCTTTAGGCATGTCTCTGAAATAATGAGAAAGCAAAACATCAACGTTAAAACCTAGTACTCATAAAATCAAAATTTTTCTGAGTAAGACTGAATATAGGCTATGAACAACACAGGTCAGCGCTGGTTATATTTACATTCAGAGCAACCAAGAGCAGCCTAAATGTGACAAGTGAGAAACAGATACGAGGCTTACTCTCCCCGTATAAAAATGAACCCAACAGGCATCCTATAAATAATTAATGTCACAAAAAACAATGCAAGCAAACCAGCACTCACACACACGTAAAGGGACTAGAGCCATAAAAGCAGATTATTATTTCACTGCATGTTAACAACCAACTAAAACAGTTTATGTGTTTTGTAATTCTCTTTCTCGTCCTCTCCTCTGGGCCTCGTCATCTATTTTGTCATCATCATACTCTGTTGTGCCATCCAGTTGCCATGAACAACTGTCCTCAGAGGAGTGTTGTTGCTGCTCCCCCCCCAATTTTCTCTTACCATAATTACATTTTCCATCAATAGTCACACTAGTTAATTAGCTCTACACAACCTAGCACAAATACAACCCCTCTAAAAACACACAAATATACAAAGGAACACACACAGACATGCACACACAGTTGGTTATTCCTCAGGCAGCCAAGTCACTGGATTAAGACTGCACCTCCTTGGCTCCATCCAAAGTACACATAGTAGGCTGACTGCCTTCAGTCAACAGAACTAGCCTGTAGGATTTCACTCCACACTTTTCCCAGTGGCCTTGGCTTTTCACATCTAGGAAACAGTGCATAGACTGTATGGCTTACCTGAGGTGCTTAGTTGGGATGTGGTACAGCGCTGGAATCCGATGTAACAACAGCACCACCCTGGCCTCCCTCCCGTTGCTCATCGAGCGTCCCTTCCCCTACCAGCTGCTACATACGTAGCAGGCACCTCCCTGAGTCCATCCTTCCTCTTCCTCCACTTTATATCCCAGCATCCTCCTGTAGGAGCTAAGCCCCACCTCATCCAATTCCCTAGAGTCAAGGGTAACGACTGGTAAATTTGTAACTGCATCCCCTGGGACTTGATACCCTTTGACCCCTCTTTGTTGGCTTCCCAGATGCTTAAGCCCTTGTTAACTGTTGTGGTGTCACTTAACTTCTGCCATATTTGTGTTTAACATATTTAAAAAAAAAATTTTTCCTGAGTGCCAATACAAGTATTGTGTAAATTTGGAAATCCCTTAGGTCCCCAGCCTGGTAGCTTTTCCCATAATTTGCTTTGTCTGATATATTTCAGATTTGACTATGCTTATTTAATCTGCAAGCATTTGTACATCTAGTTGCATCTGTTCATATCCCAGACAAATTCTAAGATTGTCCCACTACATCTCTGGCATAAATTTCAGACAAATTCATTAAGTCTTTGGGACTGCATCTTGCTACTGTAGCTTTAATCACAAATAAGTGAGTTTCTCCTGAGATCTTTTTTTTTTTTTACCCTTTGTCCTCTACCTCACGCTATTTACAAGCTGCATAAAATTGTTTCTTCATGCACCAGCACGTTTTTCCCTTAGTGCTGTTTGACCCTCAGCCAGACTCAAACCGATGACTGCAATTACATGCTAGTATCTCAAAACATACTCTGTCTTAATCTTATGTTCTTGTTGTGGATTCCTCCTATAAGATCTCTAAACTGGCCACATACATACACATACAGTAGATTATATGCGAGTCTCTCCGTGAAATGTTTTTTCTCCTGCCTAATGTTCCTGTTTGAGGAAGTTAAATTCATTCAAGGTCAGTCCTGGTATGATGATGTTTTATTTGTCTGTGATGTACGGTATGTGTAGTTACTGCATTTTAGGCCAGGGTGGAAACATAAGGAAAGCAGATAAAGACAGGACTGAAAGTAAATATTAAAGCAATTAAATCAGACCGAGAAAAATATCAGTGGTCTCATGTTTCAGGATGTTCTAAAGGGTGACTACAATCCGTTACATTAGAAGTTTCTGATACGCAGACCCCCTACCAATAAAACAGAACACTACTTCCTCTCCTTTGTACCATAAGGAATTAGACAATATAATGCAAGAGTCAAAAGGGGAAAACTGCAGTACTGTTGAAGGAATACACATTCTTAAACATGCACACAGCTCTGTTATAGTTATAGTTAGCATTTTATGAGGAATGTGCAGTATGTATTGTATTATTTTTAAACAGTGTGGGCTAATAATGACTGTGCAATATGGGAATGTTTAGGGGTCATGATCAGTAATGTAATTTCCATGAATGTGGATAAATACATTTTATGTTTGTGCAGCAATGTGCTTCTGCCCCATCACAGCCTGAATACAAATGGAGTGGTTGAATAAAATGAATCAACGATCGACGCAAAAAGAATCACAATCCAGCTGGCTCCATCTCTGTACGTCTTTCTACATCTCACACATACACACTTTAGAGCAAAAGTGTCTAAAGTGTGTCCACAGAACCACAGAAAACCATATACGCTCACACAAAGTATCAGTCTCTAAATGTAGGGACTGACTCAAACTGTTACTTTCATCAGTAAAAAAAAGACTGACACAAACACAAGCAGTACTAACAGCCTGCCTGGCTGCAGTCTCCCAGTTGTGTGTTTGAGGTGCAGCTTGGGACCACTTGTTCAGGGCTGTCTCTGGACAGACCCATTCATGTCTGCCACAAAGCACTTCAGCTACAGTAAGATAAGACTTTAAATTATCCTCACGCACTCCCCTTGTTTGGCAAGCATGTCTTAAAAGTTTGTGTGTGTGTGTCAACATAAAAGCAGGGCTAAGGAGAGGAAAAAAGGGCAAATGAAGCGATTCAAAAGCAGCAGATGGGTCGGTCAGAGTGCGGGCCGGAGGAATACTAATGCACCTCTACTTTGAATTCTGTTACAACCGCTATTCACATAAGTGAATCAGACATTCAGGCTTCAACAGATGAGCAGAAAAATTCCATGATGATAAAAGATTAAACAAAACAATTCATACCTTTTTTTTTTTTTACGTTGTGAGATAAAAATAAGTAACTCAACAAGCTTATTGTGAGAATAAATAAGTCTTATTTGGGTTTGGAAAAGTGATGATGAAAATTACTGAGGTCTAAAAGAGTCCAGGAAAAAACTGTTTCTTCTAAGGCTGGGGAATAATTCAGTACCATCATTTATCAACTTTAAGTGGAATCATCTCACAGTGATGTGAACATACAAAATGAATCACTCAGCAGATTTTAATTATAGAGCAGAAATTAAACTCGACATCTATCTGAAGAGCAGTGTTTCGATGTTTTCAGCAGCTGTTCATTTCTGATATAATGCACGTATCACAATTCACTCAACTAAGCAAACTGATCATTGATGATGTTTGCATACATTTCAGGTTCTGTGATAGTTATCAATATCAGAAGACTTGTTAATATTGAGATATTTCAATAATATACCCCACCACTGTTTTATATTCATGATTAAGCTGTTCAACAACTCCAATAGAAACTGATGGAGATTTGCTCAGTTTTTCCACTCTGCTCCACTACATGAAGGAATTTTAAACAAAATGGAGACTTTACACTTCATGTCAGTGCACATGACATTGTAATGAGGCCTGTGTGAAATGACCAAGTACAAAGAGATTTAATTCATTCTAAACTGTTTTTCTTTAAAACCCCAAAGGTTGGTCTAATAGGCATGAAAGAAGCCAAATTCCACCCAAAATTCTACATGCAATTGACAACAAATTGCTTTAGTGATTGCCACTGGAAATCAACTGGCAAACCCACAATACACTACCTTGCATTTAATACACTCTGCTAGGTTTTTGTGAGTGCCTAAATGATTACATTATACATGTTTTTCTATACTTTTTGGGTTCAATCTTACCCCTGCTTGCGGCTCAGCTTTTCACAGTGAAAGGAAAAATTGAGGCCTGTCAGCTGAATTTTGAAGTCAAAGCCCAGTGAACACTGATAGATTCACTATGAGTTTCTAGAGAGACGTTGAGCATGAATGGAGAGTTTTCTGTTTCATTTCTTCTGAAAAGGGAAACCTGGCTACAGTACCTGCTGCTATTCGGCACAGAAGAAACTGCCGTTTCAACTGAAGTGTGCTCCCTCTCTCGTACAAACACACTTGCAGAGAAAAAAGCCGGCCGGTTCCAGATGTTCCTGTTCTTTAAGGGTCTAAGGCACTGCATTGGAGGATAAACTCACCTAAACAAACTTAAGCTACACCTACAGTAACTAGGTGTAGAATAAATTA